ACCTGTCAGAATGGCCGCCATCAACAAATCATCAAACAACAAGTGTTGGCGAGGGTGTGGAGAAAAGGGGACTCTAATACACTGCTGGTGGGAATGCAGACTGGTGCAGCCGCTATGGAAAACAATATGGTGCTACCTCAAAAAATTAAAAATTGAACTTCCATTTGACCCAGTGATCCCACTGCTGGGAATATACCCTAAGAAGCCTGAAACACCAATCAGGAAGAATATATGTACCCCCATGTTCATAGCAGCACTATTTATAATAGCTAAGATCTGGAAACAGCCCAAGTGTCCACCAGTAGACGAATGGATCAAAAAGCTGTGGTACATATACACAATGGAATACTATGCAGCGGTACGAAAGAAAGATCTCTTATCCTTTGAGACGACATGGAGGGACCTGGAAAGTATTATCCTAAGTGAAAGAAGCCAAGCAGAAAAAGACAAATACCACATGATCTCACTTATATACGGAATATAATGAACATAACAGTCTGAGGAATACAGTAGACCCAGACACATGGAAGTAGGGCACAGACTGACATCCCTCAGAAGAGGGGATGGGGGGGGGGTGGGAAGAGATTAACCACAGAACTCATATGCATGTATGCATGACCAATGGACATGGACAACTAAGCCGGGAACAGGGTGGAGGGGGGGTGGGGTGGGGGGTGCCAATGGGGTAAAAAGGTAAAATATCTGTAACAAAAAAATAAAAAAATAAAAATAATATAAAAAAAAAAAAAACAAAAAAAAAACTTTCTTGCCTACTCTTTTGTACATTTAAAATTTTGTACTATGTGCACACAGTGCCCATTCTAAAAAAAGCAAAAGTGGGCCTAACTCTCAAATGAATATTTTAACCATATTTGTCATTGTTTTCCAACTTTCTTTCCTCCAAAAGCACACAGTCATCAGATTAATCTTCTTTTTTAAAAAAAATTCTTCCTTTTTTTTTTTTTTAAATCCTCACCCGAGGACATTTTTGCATTTATCTTCAGATAGAGCGGGAGGGAGAGAGCGGGTTAGAGAGAGAGAAACATCGATGTGAGACACTTCGAGTGGTTGCCACCCACACAACCCTAACCAGGGCCAGGGACAAACTGCAACCGAGGCCCTTAGCGGGAACGAACCCGGGACTCTCTGGTCGGAAGGGTGACGCTCTAACTACAGAGCCAAACGGGCCAGGTTAATCTTTTTTTTAAGCTTGTTAAGATTTTTCTTTCTTATTTATTTATTTATTGTTAATCCTCACCTGAGGATATTGTTCCATTGATTTTTTTTATCTTTATTGTTGAATGCATTTCAGATGTTCCTCATTTTTCCCCCACTGACCTCCTCCTCCCCACTCCCGCCCCCCTTCTGCCTTTTCCCACACTGCTGTCTGTGTCCATTGGTTATACATATAAGTTCTTTGGTTTATTTCTTCCCATCCTCAACCCCCTTCTCTTTGAGGTTTGTCAGTCTAGCAATCAATTTGTGCTTCTTAATCCCTTCACCTTTTTCACCCATTCCCCCAACCCCCCTCCTATTTGGCAACCAACAAAATGTTCTCTGTATCTATGAGAATGTTTCCGTTCTGCCTGTTCATTTTGTTTGTAGATTCCATTGTCAATAGATATATATTCATTGCCATTTTGTTTGTTCATATATTTTATCTTTTTCTTCAAAAAGACCCTTCAACATTTCATATAATAATGGTTTGGTGGTGATGAACTCCTTTAACTTTTTCTTGTCTGGGAAACTCGTTTTATGGCCATCGATTCTAAATGATAGCTTTGTAGGACAGAGTAATCTTGGTTGTAGGTTCTTGTTTTTCATTACTCTGAATATTTCTTGACACTCCCTTCTGGCCTACAAAGTTTCTTTTGAGAAATCAGCTGACAGTCTTATGGGAACTTCCTTTTAGGTAACTAACTGCTTTTCTCTTGCTGCTTTTAAGATTCTCTCTTTGTCTTGAACCTTTTGCATTTTGATGATGATGTGTCTTGGTGTGGGCCTCTTGGGGTTCATCTTGTTCGGGACTCTCTGTGCTTCCTGGACTTGTATGTCTGTTTCCTTCACCAAGTTAGGGAAGTTTTCTGCCATTATTGTTTCAAATAGGTTTTTTTTTTTTTATCCTCACCCGAGGACATTTTTCCATTTTTTTGTTCAGGTAGAGTGGGAGGGAGAGAGAGGAAGAGAGAGAGAGAGAAACATCGACGTGAAAGGGACACATCGAGTGGCTGCCACCCGCACGACCAACCAGGGCCGGGGACAAACTGCAACCGAGGTACATGCCCCCAGCGGGAACCGAACCCGGGTCTCTTGGGACTGCAGGCTGATGCTCTAACCACTGAGCCAAACCGGCCAGGGCTCAAATAGGTTTTTGATTTCTTGTTCTCTCTCTTCTCCTTCTGGCACCACTAAGATGTGAATGTTGACATGCTTGAAGTTGTCCCAGAGGCTCCTTACACTATCCTTATTATTTTTGATTCTTTTTTCTTTTTGCTGTTCTGATTGGGCGTTTTTTGCTTCCTTATATTCTAAATTGATGGTTTGCTTCTTGGCTTTACCTACTCTACTATTGAATCTGTGTAAATTATTCTTTATTCAGTTAGTGCCTCCTTCATTTCTGACTGGTCCTTTTTTATGCTCTTGAGGCCCTCACTAAGTTTGCTGAGGTTCTCATTAAGTTCATTGAGCATCCTTATAAACAGTATTTTGAACTCAGCATCTGTTAGGTTGCTTATCTCATTTCACTTAGTTCTTTCCCTAGAGATTTTTTTCTGTTCGTTCATTTGGGACCTGTTTCTTTGTCTCCTCATTTTGGCTGTCTCCCTGTGTTTGTTTCTATGTATTACTGAATGAGCAGTATGGGGCTAGCTGAGACCAGATGCTGCTTGTTTGAAAGAATTTAGGAAAACCTGAAGCAGGATCCAAGACAGGCCAATCTTATGGTAAAGCAACTGGCAACCGCTTGGGTGGTCCTGAAAGTTGGGTGGGGCGGGGCCTCAGGGAATCACCAGGGCGGGCCAAACAGGTTGCTGGAGTCCCAGGTGGCAGCTGTCTGCCATCCAAGGCAAGGGCTCACCAAAGGAACAAAGGCCTCTGACAGCACATTTGTCCCGGAGAAAGCCCCCTCTCCAGCCCTCACTCCAGTGCCAAACAGCTCAGTTCTTCCTTGTATGTCTCTGGTGCCCCTCGAGCCACCTCCCCTCCAAGCTAAGAGGGAGTGAGTCTGATAAGTTTGTGCGCGTGCCCTTTAAGGAGCTGCCTGGGGCTCCAGCCGCGTCAGCCTCCCTGAGCCTCAGTTCCCGCTGGTTTTTCCAGCCAGAAGTTATGGGGACTTCTCTTCCTGGCATTGGAACCCTGATTGGGGCATCTGGTGTGGGACGGGGACCCCTCAGTCTTCAGGAAGGACTTTCCCAGCCGAGGTGTCCTCCTGATTTTTATCCGCCACACGTGGGTGTGGGACCAGCCCGTCCGCCTCCGCCCCTCCTACCAGTCTCGATGCGGCTGCTGCTTTAATTGCGTAGTTGTAGGACTTCCGTTCAGCTTGATTTCAGGTGGTTCTTCTGTAGTTTAGTTGTAACTTTGATGTGGTTGTGGGAGGACGCGATACCGCGTTTACCTACGCCGCCATCTTGACTGGAAGTCTCCATACAGTAATTCTATGTTTAATTTTTTGGGAATTAGCATCCTGTTTTCTTTTTTTCTTTTTGGTTCAGATAGAGCGGGAGGGAGAGAGAGAGAGAGAGAGAGAGAGAGAGAGAGAGAGAGAAACATCAATGTGAAGGGACACATCGAGTGGCTGCCACCCGCACGACCAACCAGGGCCGGGGACAAACTGCAACTGAGGTACATGCCCTTAGCGGGAACCGAACCCGGGTCTCTCTGTACCGCAGGCCAACGCTCCAACCGCTGAGCCAAACCGGCCAGGGCACCATCCTGTTTTCTATAGCATCTACTTTACATCATCTTAAGGCCATTTCCCGTTATTTTGGTCAGGATTTTGTAATACCCAAGTAGGCCTCTCAATATCTCAAGGGATGTGTAATTTCTAAAACAAAATTAATTACTTTATAAAAAATGTTATACAGAACTTTTAGCAAGAGAGGATATATAGTGATGTAAAAGTAGTGCTTCAGTGCTTTATTTCTCTTCAGAAATAAACCTTAAAAAAGATGTATATAGATGCCTCAATGGAAAAGTATTTTTTTCCAAGATGATAATTTATGGGGGCATTTAAAAGGTTAAGGTAGTTATAATTTTCTATACCTCACTACTCACCTTCTTCTCCAAATCCCAGACCTGACTTGCATTTCCTAGGGCCACAGAGAGCTGAAACACAGATTCCCTGCACCCACTCCAGGCTACACACACTCCTGAATCTGGAGAGAGCCAGCCCAGGAGAAATCCACCCCTCTCATTGTAGTGTTCTTTTCACTTTCCTATTTTATTTCACTATTTTAAATAGTTTTATTTGTTTGCCTCCCTCCATCAGAGTGGAAGCTCCCTAAGAACCCAGACTTGTTTGACATACCTTTTGTACATCCATACTGGACACAAAATAGGTCCTTAATAAATATTTGTTGAATGAATAAATTATCAAATGAATGAAAATTTGCTTTCCAAGTCTATTTTCTTTTACTCTAAAAAACTCTGAAATATTATAATTTATTATCAGAAAACTGCCCCCTATTCATATCTAATAAATCCTAAGATTTTAGCATATTGCTTCAAATTTTCTTTTGTCACTTAAAAAGAAACAAATTTATAGGAGATATAGAGATGGCTCACTCAGGGTGTGTGTAAAAATAGATAGTTTTGTTTTTCCAGAAGAGTGGTTCATCTACATTGCTTATATAAACTCAAACTACAGATCCCAGGCAGCACTGCAACAGTTTCTAGTGATGTATTATTTTTTTCTTCTGTAAACAGCCAATGAAAGGTAGTTTACACAGGTCTTGGATGACATCTGGTGTGTTGGCTGTGTTCAGCCTTAAGTCTAATTAGTGCGGTTTGGAATGTGCTGCTGTAAACCAGATTTCAAAAGGCTTTTCCTGTTAATTCACAGCTTATTGTGTCTCTTGTTTCAGGGACAAGAAGAGCTGATTTAGTGATCTAAATGGACGAAATACTGAAATACCGGTTGGAAGATAATGAAGATTACTACACGTTACTGGGGTGTGATGAACTGTCTTCGGTAAGATAGTGGATAATGCCGTTCTTTTTCACAACAGTATTTCAAATTTTATTTAAAATTTTAACTTTGAAATTTTAATCACCTTGCTTAAACACCTAATCTTGTATTATTCTGAAGCACTTTTGGCTCAGAGAAAATTAAGGATTTGAATGTATGTTGGGTCTTTACCTGAATATTGCCCTTTTGTACTTTTATGGTCACTTGAGATTGAATATGTATATTCTGGCACATGGCCATTCATCCTGTTTCAGATATATTAAAAATAGATATTTGAAACATTGTTGAAATTGCTTTTGCTTGTGTTTCATACCATACATAAGCGATAGCTTTATTATAGCAATTTACATTATAATTGAGATGAAATGTAATTTTCTAGTAATTAGTGATTTTAAAGTGTTTTATTAAAATATGTATTTTTATGTGAGCAGCTAAATTATACAGACCAAGAAGCATCTTTTATGTTAATATTTTAAATTGTGTGAGAGAAATTACTTCTTAAAAGGGTGGCTTCTAATACAAAACATATGAAAATTCTGTAGTTTTTCACTTGATCTATATAATGGAATAATGTTTTAAAGGTGCCCATAGACAGTTATAAAAGTTGTAAATGTTTAAATTATGAAAAACTCATTTATAATTTTACCTCCCAAGGGTAACACTTTTAATGTTTGGTATGTTAATCTTCAGTCTTTTTCCTATACATAATTTTTGAAGACATGTTGATTCCTGTTTTTTACCCACTAACATTATAACAAGGATTTCTCCATGCTATGAAACATTCTTCATACATATTTTAATGATTGCATAATTTTATTGTACCATAATTTATGTTCTCTTATTGTTAAATATTTTATTTTTCCAATTTTCAATATTTTAAATACTGTTGAGATGAATATGAAATATATTCAATTATATTATTAAATATATTCATATTATTTTATATATATATATATTTTTATCCTCACCCAAGGACCTTTCCCCATTTTTTGTTCAGATAGAGTGGGAGAGAGAGAGAGGAAGAAAGAGAGAGAGAGAGAAACATCGACGTGAAAGGTACATATCGACTGGCTGCCACCCACAGGACTCAACCAGGGCCGGGGACAAACTGCAACTGAGGCACGCGCCCTTAGTGGGAACCGAACTTGGGTCTCTGGACTGCAGGCCAACGCTCTAACCACTGAGCCAAACTGGCCAGGGCTTATTTTATATTTTATAAGTATATATTTAAAAATCTTATAAAAATCTTATTTTATTATTAAAATATAGCTAGTAATATTAAAATATTTTAAAACAAAATATTTTTTCTATTTATTTTTGTTTTATATGGCTGGAGTTTAGTAATAAAATGTACTTTGGAGACTAGAATACCATATTGGACACAAAGGATTAAAATCTATCAGCATCACTCTGAGGAGTTTATCTTAGGTAGCGTGCAGTTACACACACACACAACAGGTTATGATGCTCTTTTAGGTGCATATTTCTCCTTTAGGATAATATGTTACTCTTGTTTACTTTGGTGGTGATATTGCTTATAGCAGTTGAGGAAGCTTATTACCATTTTTACCATATGTGTTATTCACACCTTGGATTTTACTATTGCCAAACAATTTTTTTTTGGTACATGCCCCTAGCAGAAACCGAACCCGGTACTCTGTGGTCCACAGGCTGATCCTCCAACCACTGAGCCAAACTGGGCAGGGCGCCAAACAATTTTTGAAGGAGCTATTTAAAATCAAAGGAACATAATTGAACTTGATAAGTTTCATAATTTGGGTTAAAAAATATTGTCATGCTAGGGTATAAAGTAAAGGTTGTTATATCTCTATAATAAATCTTTTGACTGTGTAGTCAGTCTTTTATAGTTCTGTTACTGTCTTTTCAGTCTGCAAAGGAAGAGGATTAATTTTGAATAGACTAAAAGAATGATCTTGCTTATTTATAATGTTCATAACAGTTTAATTTTGTGGTTACCAGTTATAGTCATACTTCTCTGCATATACTGTGGCATATAGTAAAAGGAGAATAAAAGCATTTTCTTGACATTCCTTCTTCTGAATGCATTTTACTGATTCTGTCGATGGCACAACATGTGCAGATAATAATCATTTATTTAAAATGAAATGACCCATCATAATTTTGTTTATTCTTTTTATATATATCTTTCACATTTAAAAATATTTTATACTGTTTTTGAATATTTAGTGTGACATTTCCTTTACTTGATTTGTACTGGATGAATTTCCTTTACTTCAAATATTTCTTGATTTGATGCTCTAAAAAAATTGCCCATAACTCTTCATATCCCCAAATAATTTAGCAGTTATAATTTCAAAGCCACTTGATATTTTCATTCTTATAACAACTGAGTTGATTCTTTTGCTTTAGTATGTAGTTCTTGCAATTTACAGCTTGTGTTAGAAATTAAGTGAATATATAGACTATAGGATTTCCATGCTGTTGAGTAGAAAACAACGTACCTTCTATTTCAAAAACATTTCTGAAAGTTTGAGTCCAAGTCAGTCAGCTTTTTTTTCCTATATCAGATTTTACACAAAATACATGCTATTAAATCTTCTAAAGCCCTTAGTGATGCAGATACCACACAGTAATGATGTAAGGCATTTTTTTGTGAGTGGATCTTATTTGATTTTTTAATATTTGGTCACCATTTTACAGTAATACTAAGAAGACTTCTTGAGTTCAAGATTTCATGGACTTGAATATTGAGCATAAACTCATAAAGGGAAACACTTGTTTCTTTTTTTCTAGTTCTATTTCTCATTGACTTCAAGACCACCCAGGTTTAAATCTTACCATTTTACTAGCTGTGTGACCTTGGGGAAATTGCTTCACTTCTATGCCTTGGTTTCCAAATCTGCAATTGGGGATAATAATAGTTGTGGGGATTAAATGAGAGATGATATAGGAAGTGCTTAGAACAGTGCTTGGTACATAGTAAGTTGTAGTTATTGTGGTGTGGGTATTGTTTTGATCTCACAGTAATACTTGGAACTTTGTAAATTTATTCTTATCCTGTAATTCACATTATCTTAAAAATGATTTTTAATAGATATTTTTAGAGTAGTTTTAGGTTCATAGAAAAATTGAATAGAAGGTGCAGAGATTTCCCATATAACCCCTCCTCCCATTCATGTACAGCCTCCCCCACTATCAACATCCTCATCAGAGTAGTACACTTGTTACAACATTGACACATCATAATAACCCCAAATCCTTAGTTTGCACTATCGTTCACTCTGGGGTTTTTATGTTCTATGGGTTTGGACAAATGTATAATGACATTTATTCACCATTGTGGTGTCATATGGAGTAGCTTTACTGCTCTAAAAATCCTCTGTTACACCTCTTGGAATAATTTTACAGAAAAAGTTGTAAAAGTAATACAGAGAGTTCCTATATGTAGATCACTCAGTTTCCCTTAATGTTGACATATTTAATGGTAGCACAAATGATCAAAATCAGAAAATTAACATTGGTACAATAGTATTAACTCAGCCAGGGTTCAGCAAGTGGTGTGTGTGTGTGTGTGTGTGTGTGTGTGTGTGTGTGTAAAGGACCACATAGGGTCAGGACTAGGAAGAGGCAAGCAGGGTGCTTAGGACAAAAAATTTAAGGAGGCACTAACTGTCAGAGTTGAGCAAGTGCAGAAACCTGAGAAAGAAAGAGTACCTCCTTAATCCTAGGCAGCTGGCTTGTCTCACTCTAGAGCTGGCCCTGAGGCAGCAAATATTTTAGACTGCAGGACGTATGGTCTCTGTCACAACTATTCAGCTCTGCCATTGCCAGAAAGCAGCTATAGATAATATATAAATGAATAACCATTGATGTGTTCCAATATAATTTTATTTAAAAAAACAGGGGGCGGAGCCAGATTTGGCCTGTAGACCAAAGTTAATCTACCCTTGATCTAAAGTGTAGGTCTCATTCTAATTTCATCGATTTTTCTACTAATTCCCCTTTTCTCTTCCGTGTTCTGAGCCAGGATCCTTTTTTACACTTAGTTATCCTGTTCTCTTAGTTCCCTTTAAGATGACAATTTCTCATACCTTCTTTGTCTTTCATGACCTGGACACTTTGAAGAGTAAGGTCAGTTATTTTGTAGAATGTCACCTAATTTTGGTTTGTCTGATGTTATCTCATGATTAGATTGAAGTTACATGTTTTTGGAAAGAGCACTGCAGAAGTGGTAAAGTGCCCTCAGTATATCATATCAGGGGTACATGATATTGATATTTCTTACTGACTTTGATCACTTGGTTAAGGTGGTGTTAGTCAGGTTTCTTATGCCAGGATTTTCTTTCTTTTTAAAAAAAATATGTTTTATTGATTTTTTTTAGAGAGAGAGAGAGATAAAAACATTGATGATTGATGTACAGAGAAACATCAATTGGCTGCCTCCTCCTGCCCACCCCTTACTGGGGATCAAGCCCGAAACCTGGGCATGTGCACTGACTGGGAATTGAACTAGGACCTCTCAGTCCATGGGACAATGCTGAATCCAAACAATGAGGGCATTTGTGTGGCCAGAGAAAGCTGGACAAGACAAGTGGGAATCAGATTAGTCCGTGTTGCATACTAGAGTATTTCCTGGCCCAGATCAAAATATTGTGCTAATAGTATATGGAAAAGACAAGTTTTTAAGTTTTAAAATTTAATATGGATGTTTCTAAATTTGATATATGTTTAATAAGGAAATATAGAGTATGAAGAGAACACAAAGAAAAATGTTAACCTAGATACTTAATATTTGGGTTTATGACACACATACCAATTATGTGTGCATATGCATATGCTTTGTCTATATATTATGTAAATAAGTACATGCATATATGAGTATATATTTCTATGTGTATTTAAAATTTTTTTATTTATTGACTTTAGAGACAGAGGAAGGGAGAGAGAGAAATATCGATTTATTGTTTTACTTATTTATGCATTCATTGGTTGATTTTTTTTTTTTTTAATCCTTAACGGAGGATATTTTTCCATTGATTTTCAGATAGAATGGGAGGGAGGAAGGAAGGAAGGGAGAGAGAGAGAGAGAGAGATAGACACACACACACACACACACACACACACACACACACATTGATTGGTTGCCTCCCCAACGACCGTTCCTAGGGCCGAGGAATTGAACAGCAACTGAGGTACATGCCCTTGATAGGAATCGAACCCGAAACTCTTTGGTCTGTGGGCTGATGCTCTAATCTGTGAGCCAAACCAGCCAGGGCTATATGTGTATTTTTATATGCATTTGACATCAGAGTGCCTGAACTCAAATCCTGGCTACTTACAAGCTGTATGACCTTGGGAAAATTATTTAACTTTTCTTTAAAAAAAAAAGTTTTAATTTATATTTTAGAGAGAGAGGAAAGGAGAGAGAGATAGAAACATCCATCAGCTGCCTCCTACACTCTCCCTACTGGGTGTCGAGCCTACAACCCAGGCATGTGCCCTGACAGGGAATCAAACTGGGACCTCTGAGTCCATGGGACGATGCTCAATCCACTGAACCACCACACCAGCCAGGCTATTTAACTTCTATGTCTGGTTTCTTTTTTCTTTTTTTTTATCTTCACCGGAGGACATTTTTCCATTTTTTGTTCAGATAGAGTGGGAAGGAGAGGGAGAAAGAGAAACATCGACGTGAAAGGGACACATCGAGTGGCTGCCTCCTACACGACCCAACCAGGGCCAGGGACAAACTGCATCCGAGGTACGTGCCCTTAGCGGGAACCGAACCCGGGACTCTCTGGTCCGCAGGCTGACACTCCAACCGCTGAGCCAAACCGGCCAGGTCTATGTCTGGTTTCTTAATTTGAAAAATGGAAATAATAATAGTACCCACCTCATAGAGTTGTGGGAATTAAATGAGACACTGTATGTAAAGTGCTTAGAGCAGTGCTTGGCACGTAGTAAGTTTCAATACATCTTAGCTATTATCATTATTATATATGTATATATGTTACATCTTTCCTTTTGAGGTAAGATATGGATTGATATTGCACAAATGCTTTGTAGGTACCTTTTCTCATAGAAATGCTTTCTACAAATTATCTCAAAAAGTTTTCTACTACAAGATAATTTATTTTGGCCCTGGCCGGTTTGGCTCAGCGGTTAGAGTGTTGGCCTGCGGTCCTGAGAGACCCGGGTTCGGTTCCCGCCGGGGGCGCATACCTCGGTTGCAGTTTGTCCCCGGCCCTGGTCGGTTGTGCGGGTGGCAGCCACTCGATGTGTTCCTTTCACATCGATGTTTCTCTCTCTCTCTCTGTTCCTCTCTCTCCCTCCCACTCTACCTGAACAAAAAATGGAAAAATGTCCTTGGGCGAGGATAAAATAAATAAATAAATAAATAAATAAATAAATAAATAAATAAATAAATAAATAAAAAAGATAATTTATTTTGTTGTTGTTAAGCTTCACCTGAGGAGATTTTCCCATTGAATTTTAGAGAGAATGGAAGAGAGGGAGGGAGAGAAAGAGAGATCAATGTGAGAAAGACACATCGATTGGTTGCCTCCTGTATGACCCTGACCAGGGCCAGGGATCAAACCTGCAACTCAGGTATGTGCCCTTGATCTGAATCAAACCCGAGACCCTTTGGTTTGAGGGCCGATGCTCTAACCATGGAGCCAAACCAGCTAGGGCAAGTTAATTTTTTAATGACTGTAAAATATTCCAGTCTATGGCTATATGACAATTAACTTTAACAAATATCTTATTACAGACACATAGGTTTTTATTTACAATGTATAGCATGACCCTTCATATAATGAAATTATTTTCCCACCTCTGATTATCTCCTTAGACAAATTCCTTGAATTGGAATTGTTGGATCAAAGGGTATGACAAAAATATACATCCCAATTTCTTGCTTTACAAGAAATTCGCACCAGGAGAACAATGGGAATGCTTGGTTCTTTACACCATCAATAACACTGGTCATTATTATTCCTTGGATGTTTTGATTTATTTGAGTACAAGTAAAGTTGAACATTTTTGTATGTTTACTGGCCAACAGGACAGGTAGTTTTCTAGACCATTGAACATTGGCTTGGCAGGCATTCAGGATTCAGTGGACCTTGACGTGGAGGCCTCAGCTGCCCGTGGGTTGCACTTGGCACTGGGCAAATGGGGTAGGGATGCCAAGAGATTAATAGAATGTATCCAAGACAAACTAACCCACTTGACCAGTTAGTTTAACCAGAACCAGCTCTACATAAGAGATTTATGATGAACTTTATGACAGTAAACCTGTGAAAAGTAATGAAAGACATATATGGACTATTCTTAACTTTTTTAATTATGAAATTGGCAAAATATAGAAAATATAAAGAAACCAACCATCACAAATGTTTGCACTACAGAGATTTAACCATTTTGACACATTTTCTACCAAAGGGGTAATAACAGAATGTTTTCTAATGGGATAGGAATAAAAAAGTAAAACAACAACAATAAAACCCGGAATTTCTACCTTTGATAGATAGGTATGATTTTATCTATTTATATTATTAAAATCCCCCAAGGTGTGTGTGTATGTGTGTGTGTGTGTGTGTGTGTGTGTGTGTGTATATATATATATAATATGTCTTGAAGGATGTAACATGTTATCTTAGGGGAAGAGGGGTAAAGGAGCTTTTGCTTTTTATTCTGTATTGATAGAAATTTTTTTTTTTATCCTCATCCGAGGACATTTTTCCATTTTTTGTTCAGGTAGAGTGGGAGGGAGAGAGAGGAACAGAGAGAGAGAGAGAAACATCGATGTGAAAGGGACACATCGAGTGGTTGCCACCCGCACAACCGACCAGGGCCGGGGACAAACTGCAACCGAGGTACGCACCCTTAGCGGGAACCGACCGCAGGCCGATGCTCTAACCGCTGAGCCAAACCGGCCAGGGCTTGATAGAAATTTTTTCAGAGAGATTGTGAGTATTTATAAATTACTTGTTAATTATAAAATGCTTACTAATAGGATCTTTAGACTTTAATATTTTAAAATGGAAAAACAAGTTATTCTCAAATTTTCTTTGTTATATAAGCAGGTTATGGTGACTGATGGTTAAAGGGAGCATACAGGAAGAGGAAACAGTTTATTCAGTTCTTAACAGGAAGTCTATCTCTTCCTATTATTCCAAGGGGTTCTCAGTAGATGCTTAACAAGGAAAATAATTAAGTTTTTAATATGGGCTTTATACATATGCATGTCTAATTCAGTCTGACTGATTATAAAAGAGAAGACTTTTTTTTATTAGAATTGATTAAGAATGAAATGGAGCTGATAAACATATGTTTCTCCTCCCATGACTCTTATGACAATATTGAGCTGAACTACTTGAGAATTCATTTCTCAAACAAGAGGTAATTTGCTTTCATTAATTCCTGGATAGTAAATATAGGACTTAGTAATAGGATCCTGAGCCTGAAGAATTCAGCCTTATAAAACAGTGGGAAAGATGATTGGGTTTTAAATTTAAATGCTTAGTTAACAATGACTTAAGACAAGTTTCTTAACTACTGACATTTAATAATAGCTACTATTATTGGGTTCTTACTATAATCAGGCTTTGTGTTAAGTGTAATGTAAAAATGAGGAAACCTGGGCACTTAGAAATTATGTAACTTGCCTGAAGTCTCAGAGCAGTGTTGGGATTTAAAATGAAGCAATCAGATTCCAGAGCCACATAACCACTGTTGTCTTCTGCTGCTGTTATTGCAATTATGATTCATAAAATCAAGTCTCGATCATTCCTGATCATAGGAATTAGATGGATGAGTGAAATCAAATCAAATCATGGATGGCCCTTAAATGTAATTCTAGTTTGGGTTGAAGTTTCTCTTTTCCCAGTCAAAATCTCTAACCAGGCTGTTAATCAGTAGCAAAATGATCAGGTTTGAATTATGTCCTTTTAAAAAAAATTGTGAAATTCTTAATAAAACTGAAAAAGGGCCAGAAGGCAGGAAGAAGGAACTTTATAATGGATAATTTATAAACTGGATAGTCATACCTGAATAATGAATGTTAGCTAAGCATTTTTTAACGAACTCAGATGTATGAACACATCTTTTATACATTCTTAGGATAATCCTATCTGACCATTTTTTAAAAATTGATTTTAGAGAGAGAGGAAGGGAGAAGGAAAGAGAGATAGAAATATCAATGAGAGAGATCATCGATGGCCGCCTCCTGCATGCCCCCCCCCCCCCCACTGGGGATTTGGCCCACAATCTGGGCATGTGCCCTGACCAGGAATTGAACTGGGGACCTCTTGGTGCATGGGTCGATGCTCAACAACTGAGCCACACTGGCCTGGCCTATCTGACTATTTTTGACACTTAAATATATTGAGCTCTTAGATGTCTTGGGCCATCATCTAAATCTGGTAGCAAGTTAAATTGTCACCACAGACCACTGTTTGAATAGAGGCTTTTACTGGATGCTTTCTGAATTTTGTTATTGAGAAATTTATTTCTTAGAGTAAAAAGTCGAAATACAAATATAAAGATCAAAATGAAAAGTTGGGTTGATCATGGTTGTTTTGGGAAGGACTGATGTCCAACTTCTTCCTTCACTCAATGGCATTTAAGCTGGACATTTTATTTTAAACATTGATTTTTGTTTTAGGTTGAACAAATCCTGGCAGAATTTAAGGTCAGAGCCCTGGAATGTCACCCTGACAAGCATCCTGAAAACTCCAAAGCAGGTAGGTATTTAATAGCTGTTTCTAATGAAAATGAACAGCATATAGAACTAAAAAGCCATTGAGTAGTAACTTAATTTTCTTTTCTCCATTATTGTTAAACTTATTCTTTAATTCAATGAATAATGTATTTTGTACTATTGGATGGTAGGAGCAGAGGGAAAACTGTAGAGTCTTTTCTCTAATAGTAGTCATTTAATACCCATTTTTCTTTCTACTATAATTTGCTGCTTCATGGTTTAAAATTTGTCATTTATGCCTTATTTCACCAGTGTTGGAGTGTTAACATAACTTAAGTATGTTTGTAATCAGATGGTTGTCTTGATGAGAACCTTGCTGTGTTTTCTTCATTTCAGAGACCCGAATGTATCCATATATAATATATGTCCATATGTATGATAGCGTATTCATACTTTTGTTCTTTCCTTTATAATAACTTAAATCCCATTATCATAAATGTAGACATAAATGCGCATGTATATCTTAGCCTGAAAAAAATACTAAACTAATTAACCTTCCTTAACCTGTCTCCCTCTTGCTCCCCCCTATCTATCTCCTTCCCTTTACAGCCAAACTTTCTGAAAGAGTCCACAGTTGATATCTACTTCCCTTCTGCCCAGTTTTTGATTTATCCCAGTTTGACTTCCTCCTCACCTTTCTTGGAAACTGCTCTTGTAATAGTCACCAAGGACTTTTTGGCTGCCAAATCCAATGGTTCCTTTTTTGTCTTTATCTTCTCTGAGCTTGCATTGGAATTTGACACTGTTGATCATGCCCTCTTTCTTGAAACACTCTTTTCTCTTAGCTACCAGGATGTGCACTCCTGCTTTTCCTCCAGCTTCTTAAGCTACTCTTTCTGTCTCCTTTGTGACTCCTTTTCTGCTGCCCTCAGAGTACCTCCTAAACTCTCTTCTGAGCTTACTTCCCGATTTCTTTCTGGAGTCTAAGTCTGTGGCTTCAGTTGTCAGTTCTTTGTTGATGGTTCCCAAATCTATCTTTAATTCAGTTCTCATTCCTCATTTTCAGACTGTAGTTTTGACTGCTTCTTGGAAATTTCTATTTGGAGACATTTCAGTCATCCTGTCAAAAATTGGACTGACTCACTGTTCTTCTCTTGCCCTCTCTAAAATCTTGTTCCTTTTTTAATGTTTCCTCAGCTCAAGAAATGGAACTACATCCCTTTAGTTGGCCAAGCAAAAACCTTGCCTCCCTCCTCCCCACATTTGGTTGATACTGGTGACTTACCTTCTACGTCTCTCTCCTCTTCCCTCCACTCTCACAGCCACTTCAGTAGCAGAGAAAGAGAGAGAGAGAGAAACGTCGATATGAGAAAGAAATGTTGGCTGCCTCCTGTAGGTTCCCTGACTGGTGATTGAATCCACAATCTAGGTAATGTGCCCTAACCTGGAGTTGAACCCACAAACTTTTGGTGTGTGGGATGATACTACAACCAACTGAGCTACCCGGCCAAGGCTCTTTGTAGTTATGAGGTAAATAAAAGATTTAATATGCATGAAGAATACTAAAACAAATGCCCATGTAATGTACCACTCAGTTTAAAACTTTACCAATGCAGTTGAAGTCTCTTGTGTATTCATACCCTGATTTTATCATCAGAGTAGGTAATACTATCTTAAATTTGATGATTATGTTTGCTAATAGGTATGTATATAGTATGTGTACATGGATGATTTTTCTATAAGGGAAATATGGTTAAGACCTGTTTATAACTCCACATTGCACAAATGATAAAACCCAAACTCCTCTTTATTAAAAACTATTTTCCTTCCTAGGACCTGACATGCCAGGGAAGAGGCCCTGGGTTATGTCTGTACTTAGCACCTGGACTGTTGGGATGTGGATGGGTATGGGCAATAGTGTGTGAGTACACAGGTGTTAAGGAACTGTGTGCTACTCATGTTCTGAGTTTTGGGAATTTGGCTGCACATTTGGTCAGTCTATATAGTTACTTTATCACCATAATGCTTTTACTCCTAACTGATATTTTTATCAAAAGTGTGAATAAATACATAAAGATTGGTATGAAAAATGTTTCCCTTATGTTAAAGCTCTTCATTATTTTTTTTTCTAGAAATCATTGATCCCTTTGATTTGTATAAACAGATCATTTTCTAATATAGGATGTAATTTTTTTTTTTGTTAAACACTTAACTATTACTTTTGCTCATTTGATCTTCTCCTTTTTATTAAGGCATAACTTGTTTAAGGTAACATGAACAAATCATAAGTGTAAACTTGATAAATTTGTGTCTATGTATAACCAGTTTAACCACTGCCCAGATGAAACTGTAGAACACTTCCAGCAACCCAGAAGTTCTTTTTCATGTCCTGTTCAAAGTCAGCACCCTCTCCCATTTGTGAATCTCTGTTTCATTGATTAGTTTTGCCTGGTTTTGAATTTCATATAAATGGGATCATACAATATGTACTCTTTTGTGTGTGGCTTCTTTTGCTTTAAATTGTGTCTGTATCGACCCATATTGCACATGTAGCAATAGTTCACTCTTTGTCATTGCTGGGCCGTAAAGTACAAAAACCCCCTCATGTTGTGCCCTCTTTCATCTCTCCATTTTCATTCATTTTCTCTCCACCACCACACCTATATGTCCATGTTTTAGCCACTCAAAACTACATTGGTTCCATAAAGTACTCTACTTTCTCCTCTTTAGATCTTAATGCCTGCTGCTTCCTCTGCCTAGAACACCCCTGAGGCCTGCACACCTCCCTGACCTGCTTTGATTGGCTCGCTCATTCTCCTGCATCAGGTCTCAGCTTAGCCATCACTTCCTCTGGGAAGTCAGATGTGACTTCCAGAGCACTCTATACATCAGGCAGCAAACTGTGTATCAGACCAAACTGTGTATCAGACCATCTCCTTGTTGCCTGTTTGCTTATTAGTCACACTGGAAGCTCAGTGAGGCAGGCCTCCTGCTTATCTTGTTCAGAGTGGTGTGCCCCAGCACCTACCACGGAGAACACCTACTTTGTGCAAATAGTAATTTCTGGAGTAGGTTGGATGAATTCATGAACATTTCTTTATGAGACATTAATTACTTTTCTGAACTGGAGTTAATATTAAAATAGATGTCCTAGTGCAAAAGTATAAACATCTGATAAACACTTAAAAACAACTACCAGCCCCAGGTTATTCTTTACTGAATTTTTTTGTTTTTCAATGAAGTGTAGCTTTGAGTTGAAAGCTGCTTTTAAAAAAAATTCTAGTCCAGCCGGTGTGGCTCAGTGGTTGAGCATTGACCCATGCATCAATAGGTCACCGGTTCCATTCCTGGCCAGGACATATGCCCAGATTGTGGGCCCGACCCCCAGTGGAGGGGCATGTGGGAGGTGGCCATTTGATGTTCTCTCTCATCGATGTTTCTATCTCTCTCTCCCTTCTACTTCCTCTCTCTCTAAAAAATCAATAAAGGAAAAAAAAATATTTTTTAAAATTCTAGTTCTAAGGCTTTTGGAAATCCCTATTCTTCTCTAGGTGTGAGTGATGGAGGCAGGACTGGTTGTGCTATAGAAATTGTGTCACTGAGCTCAAAGGATCCTGGCTGCTATTCATGCCAGTCCCGTGTATGCACGTGACAGTAACTGGTTCAGGCCAATGCTTTAAAACTTCTTTTTGACCCTGAAGAAGGGGGTCAAAGGTTTTGTGAAATGGTGTTTTTGTTATTGATTTGTGGGCTTCAAAGACACACAGATATTTGAAGAAGGGTAGCTCTTTGTCCCTTGTTGATGTCTTTGAATATCTCAGTGTTTTCCTACATCAAAAACTCTTTATTGCTTCTTTCCCTCAGAATAAAAATAACACATAGTAATAAATAATGTTGAAAGTGGAAGTCTGCTCTCTGTCAGAGAACTGCTATTAACAATTGGTGTATTTTTCTTTACACTTTTGTCAAAGCATGTTCTGACATCATGTTATTATTTCTTTTTTCTTTTTTTTAGCCTCACCCGAGGACATTTATCCATTTTTGTTCAGATAGAGTGGGAAGGAGAGAGAAGTGAGAGAGAGAGAGAAACATCGACATGAAAGGGACACATCTAGTGGCTGTCTCCCGTACAACCCCAACCGGGCCGGGGACAAACTGCAGCTGAGGTACGTGCCCTTAGCGGGAACCGAACCCGGGTCTCTCTGGACCACGGGCTGGTGCTCTAACCGCTGGGCAAAACCAGCCAGGGCCATATTATTATTTCCTTAAGTAATTGTAAGTGTTCTGCATTTAAAATGTGGCTATAATAATACAAATTCTATTGTGAAATATGAAGTTAAAGGAACCTATGTGTTTTCAAAGTAGGTGTTAAGTCAGAATGTCTCTCAAAGGTTCTAGCATCATTTGCTCATATAAGCTTACAAAATGAGATCTCATTTCCCAGAACTGGTAAATATTTGTCTCGTGTGATTCATTTGATTAGCTGATATATTCAAGGAGAAATATAAACCTCAACTCATTTTTATTAAATGTGGGGAAGAGGATGGAACAAAGAAAAGGCCACTTAACAGGAAAGATAAGGCCTCTTTTGCTTTCTGCTTATCAATTGTTGTAGAGGGATTGACATCAGAATAATTCCAGGCAGGCTTCTTTTGTTTCTGGAAACTGGAAAACAGGCCAGCAATGATGTGCAAAGAGAAGGTGATTCAGAGATAAATATGTAAATCTTTACAACCCTTACTCATGTAGTGTGTGCAGCTGTGGTGATAATTTAATGAGCTTATTATTCCTGTTGAAAAAGTGACATCTCATTTGTACAGAGAGATATTTACATTGTCATCAGCAATGGGAGGGATTGCTCACTGGAGCCAGCTGATATGACAAGATGCTTTTTATTTGTTTCTTTGTTTTCCTGTAGCTTTCAGTAGCCCCATCTTTAGGTTCTTTCTTTTAACCCATCAATTGTTACTACCTCCAGCAGTGATATTAAATAGTTAATGGCCTGTTAGGTACCTGTGCTGTCCAACCTTGGAGCAGGGTCCT